GCAATGCCATTAGGGGAGCCTCAGCCCTGAGCTCACAGGAGGTAAATCACAGAGTCATAGAATCATAGAATGCTTTGGGTTGGAAGGGACTTTAGAGATCATCTAGCCCAACCCCCCTGCAGTGAGCAGCAACAGCTTTAACTGGATCAGGTTGCTCAGAGCCCAGTCCAACCTGACCAGGTTGGGGATGGGAATGGGGATGGGGATGGGGATGGGGATGGGGCCTCCACTACCTCTCTGGGCAACCTGTTCCAGTGCTTGACCACCCTCATTGTAAAAAATTTCTTCCTTATATCCAGTCTAAATCTATTCCTCTTTTAGTTTAAAACCATTACTCCTTGTCCTGTCACAACAGGCCTTGCTAAAAAGATTGTCCCCATCCTTCCTATAGGCCCCCTTTAAGTACTGAAAGGCCGCAATAAGGTCTCCCTGCAGCCTTCTCTTCTCCAGGCTGAACAACCCCAACTCTCTCAGCCTGTCCTCGTAGGAGAGGTGCTTCATCCTGTTTGAAACATAGCAAGTCTGGAGGAGAACCAGTCCCCAAAACCTTCGTATCTCACTCTACAGGGCTGCCTGTTCTCAGTTCAGGTGGCTGGTGCTCAACAGTGCTAGGTCAGGATCTTTTCAGCAGTTTTTCAGGTCAGTTCCCCTTTTTCTTTTCATACACGGGGAAAAACACAGTCTCATATCTTCATACCAGAAGGCAGGTGGATGCCTGGACATCAGGCTATCGAGGGTGGGGAGAGACAGAACTTTGATGGTTCTGGAAGACCTGAGAGTCCATGTGGTGCAGAATTGCCCTGCCCTGGCACCAAGATCTCCACCCATCTCTCCTCCTGCCTGCCCCCAGCACCTCGCTTGGGGATGCTCCCCAGCCCTGCTGCTCCCCAGCCCCGCTGCACCCCACCGGTCTGGTCCTCAGCAGTGCCCTTTGGGTCCCTGAGATGAGGTCCAAGGCCACCGCAAGGCTGTTGCCCAGGAATTCCAGTGGAGCTTTTGTTACCAGTGGTTGTAGCAGCTGGTGCTGCGTTGCTGACCAGGCTCCGTACTTGGGGACTGGAATGCGGGTGGCTGTGCCTCTCTCTGTGGCAGAGCCCCCAGACCCACACCAGTCACCAGCGGCTGTTGTGGTTCTTGTCAAAGTTAAGCCCAGTGGAGGATGAATCATGCAGAGAGCACCCCTGCTAAAATATCCCTTCCAGAGCCAAAACCTGAGGCCGTTCTGCCTAGCACCAGTAAGAAAAAAATGGGTTTTGTTTAAACATAGAGGGTCAGCATCTCAGCTGGTCTAAATCAGCTAAGCTCCATGAAGTCAAACAGAGATGTTCTGATTTACAGGGACTGTGGATCTGGCCCATAGTTTTTAACCAAATGTGTCCTCTTTAAATCACAGCAAACAAATCTGTGGTGCCTGGGGAGGAAAAAGAAAGAGACTTGCTCCTTGGGAATGTCCCATAAAACATAATTTCCTTTCTCCCTTGTCTGCCTGCCCACTCCCACAGGCTGTGACGAAGCTGGGCTGTTTTCCTAGTGGGATGAGAGGTGAGGGTGGCCAGGGCTAAACTCCATAATACTACTTGGAAATAGAGTGAAACTTGGAGCAGTCAGTTGTGCGTACCAGCGCCTGTGCCCGAGGGAGCGTGAGGATACACGTCCCTCCAGCTGCCAGCGCAGTTTCGTGGGCAGAGAAACATGCTTTGGGGACTGTGTGCCAGAGGAGGTCACCAGGTGATGGCTCAGGTCCTGGGGCAGCCAGGCTGGGGGTTATCGTCCTCCACCCCTTCCTGGGCAGGGGGGATATTGTCCATCATTCCCAAGCCATGGTGACTGGGAGCTGTCTTTTAGACACAGCAGGGAGCACCCGTGTGTGTATGCAGGGAGGGAGCGCAGGGAGCGCATAAGGGGTACACACCCCAAGGTGCTGCAGGGTGCAGAGCCTGGCCAGAGCTGTGGTGTTGCTCCAAGAGAAGGTTGGAAGAGCAGGACTGTAGAAACACAGGAGTTATTTATCCTACAGTAGCCATTGGCTACCAGTGTCCAGCCCTCCTTCACCAGCACTAATGTCAGCCCAAACAGATGGAGGAAGAAATAGGGGAAAGGGAAAGGATGGATCAAGTCTCCCCTTATACCAGGTGTCATTATCTTGCTGTGGCTTGTGACTTATATCTGAGCCGCATGTGACTGTCTGCTCCATGCCCGGTCCCAGGAGTTTTCCTTCCTTCAGCCTTCAGCCAGCCGAGCTGGAAATAGCACCGATGGGGACCACGTGCAGCAGCATGTGCCTTCACACGGCTGCTAAAAGCAGCACCTTCCTTTCCAGCACTTCCAAAGGGTGCTGTAGGAACCTCCTTGCTTTGGCTTTGGTGCCTCTGTATGCCGATGTCTGGACCTGGTGCTGACTCGTTGTGCTCTGATCTTTTGCTGGTGCAACCCTCTGGGCACCAGCGCTACCAGTCCTGACGTAAACCCACCTAAGAGCCAATTCTGGCACTCTGACCTCATTTTTGTTTAATGCCTCAGGGGGCCATTTAAGGCCTGGAATAAAGAGGGACTGGATTTCTTTAACATATGCTCATTCTTGGACAGTGGAAATACCATGACAAGAATAATTCTTGGATCATCTTAGCTCTGGTGTGAGCTTCCCAAGACATTAGGAAAAAGTAAGCACTGATAACTGTAAATACAGATATGGATGGAAGTGCAAAGATAGCTAGATTTATTTGGGTTTACATGGAAATCACCCTTTCCTGCAAAAATACAACACCCAATAATAATAATTATTATTATTATCAGCAGACATCTTTCATCATTCCTTGACTGTACAGTGCTGCAAATCTTCACTGGGCCTGTGCTGGACTGGAGGACTGACCTTCCTATTCCCATCTGTACCATACAGCTCCAACCCAGCCTTTTTCCATTCCATGCCTCAGATCCCATGGGTTAAACAAGGGATAGAAACCCTTTCTGAATACTGTCAAAGCCTGGCAGTCGGGCAGGGAAAACGCATGCTGCTTGGGAGGGAATTCTGAATTTCAGTGGTGTGCTGCGCAGATCCAGGGTATGGGTAAGAGCTGCCTCTCTCATCCCCAGGACCCACACCTGGGCCTCCCCTTAACCAGAGTGATCAACCACAGCTGATGCTGCTGCACCACCCCTGCTAAAAGCACACTGTGGCTGTGCAGAGCTGTCTTAGAGCTCAGGTTTTGTAGCTGGTACCCTAGGATAGCACAGCATGTCTCCGTCGGATTTTGGCAGAGGCTGGCCTCCAGTACAGCCTGCCTCTGCTGCAGGCTCATCAGTGATGTGGAGGAGCAGAGTCTGAGGCAGAGGTAAACCTGAGCTCATCTTATCTCAGAAGTGGCTGGTCCTCTCC